AAATTGGTAGACCTCATAAAGCCTTCGTCTGAGTTGTAGATTGGCTTTTTAATTTTTTAAATTTTTAACTATTTTAGTTTGGAACTAAAAAATTTTATTTTGAAAAGATTTTTTAAATTTTTTAATTTTTATGAGAGAAAAAAATGAGATAATTATAATTTGAATGTGACATTTTATTTTATTAAATTAAAAAATTTATTTATTTATTTATTTTGACTAAAATAACCCCAATCCAACTTAAACCTTCGTGCCAAACAAATCCAAAGAGACATTGGTGTGCAAGGAGGCGCGTCGAAAGCACGAGGTTTGGACAACGTGTGAAGTACGAACACAAAAGAATGGAAAATGTAAAGCAACATGGGAAATATGGAACTAAAAAGTCTTATTTTGAAAGGATTTTTAAAATTTTTTAACTTTTATAAGAGAAAAAATGAGATGATTATAATTTAAATGTGATATTTTATTTTATTAAATTAAAAAATTTATTTATTTTTTTTTTTACTAAAATAACCCCAATCCAACTTAAACCTTCGTGCCAAACAAATCCAAAGAGACATATTGGTGTGCAAGGAGGCGCGTCGAAAGCACGAGGTTTGGACAACGTGTGAAGTACGAATACAAAAGAATGGGAAATGGAAAACATGGGAAATATTAGAAAAATTATTTGTGATTTTCGAGCGTCAGGTAATCGTATCTATACCAATTATAATTTATTATATTTTTTTTATACAACAATGATTCATCCCCCTTTTCTCCCACCCCCTTTGACCCCCTCTCTCTCTCATTGGTTACATTTTCTTTTTCTTTTTCTTTTTTTTCCTGCTCCTCCAATCACCACCCGCCACGTGGCAAAGGGGGGTGATGGGGTGACCCCCAAAAGGGAGTCCCAAGCATTATTCTTTTTTATATTCCTCAATTATCCCATACAAATTTATAAATCTCACTCTCTTTATTAATCACACATCACATGACGGTGTCTTGAAACTAATCAATACAAAAATATTAGAAATTTTAAAAATTTTATTAAAATTTTTATCAAATATTTTACATAGGTATAAGACTCACATATGACCTATATGATACGAGTTTCATACTCATATAAGATATTTGATAAAATTTTTAATAAATTTTTTGACATCAGTAACATTACACCAATCAATAACTTACCTAAAACATAGGCAGCAATGATAGAAACTACCAAAAGTGATACTCTAAATTAGCACTAATGAGTAGATATCTATTAACAAACAAAATAACAACAACAATGACACAATAATACTGTGACAGTGAGTCATTAGTGAGTTCTTACTAATTTTCCAAACATAGGGAAGCTAGCATGTGCCACGTTGGCCCGATGGTGTCACCTAATGATTCGAAGGTCGTCGAATTTTACGAGGTGCTTAACAGCTTAAGCATCAACATAGCATTGCATTCCTTATTATTGTTTAGGGTCAATCACCCTTAATGAATAATTTAATTTTACTCCATTGTCTTTAAAATATTAAACTATTATTTTATTTTTTATTATTTTAAAATATTAATTTTTTAAAAAAAAATTAAGAATTAAAATAATATAATTTTTTTAAGTATCTTTTCTTTTAAATTCATTTAACATTTACATAAAAAATATAATTATGATAATTGATATTTCTAAAAAAAAAAGAGTCAAAAGATAGTTTTGAAAAATTAGTATTTTTGAAGTGTAATAATTATACTACCAAAAAAAGGTTAAATTTTCTAAAAAGACTAATATTTTGGACACTTTTTTGTTTTACCAAATTTTCTATTCGTTTTTATAATATGGGAAATTTAAAAAGTACTAAGGGGAACAATAAATTGAAAAATTATTTTTAGATATTTTGTACTGTATTTAAATATATATTAAAGTCAAATATTAGTGTTTGGATAATATTTGAAAAAAAGGGTAGTCTAAAATACGATAACATACGATTAAATAATAGTAACTTAATTTAATTTATTTAAAATGAAGGCAAAGAAATATGGAAAAATTGGTCTAGGGTCCCTTTCCCACTTTTCGTAATGGAAGAGATCCACAAAATTATTTTTTGACTTCTAAGGTCTCTAAACATATATCAGATGAAAGTTTCACTGGCTCCTCTCTTTCCACTCACCGAAAGACCTCTCGATCGTCTTCAACACTGGACAATTCGATTCATACAAACTCAATTTGACCGATTCAACGATCGGAAACTCCGAAACTAAACTTCAATTAGAAACCCTAGGTTTGTTCGGGATTCAACACTGTGATTACGGCCTCAGTTGGCTCTGGAGGAGTTGTAAACAGCTCAAGAAACTACAAATTGCGAAGCTGCTATGCAATCGGCGATGAATCATCACTCTCATCGTTCGTCGGATGCTTAATTGGTCTCCAAGAAGTGGAATTGTGGACATGTAGGGCGATAATCGACGAGGTTCCTCTTCCTCCTCCTCTTTCATACACTTTCTCATTCTAGGGTTTCAAGTTCTTGAACCCCTTCAATTTCATTTTAATTCGTCATCCCCTGTTTTCCCTACTATTCCGTCAAGCTTTTACAGTCTATTTCATACACTTTCCTTACTCTTCTGTCCCTAATGCTTTAGATTTGCACCTTACAATGAACAAGTGTGATGATCAATCTGGGAAGCAAGATGCAAAAGAACAAGAAATGGAATGTCTGGTTATAGGAGATGTAGCTGTTTCAGAGCCCAGGGAGACTAAGAGTTTTGGGGAGAAAAAAATTTCAACTTCTTCTATGTTTGAAACAGATGCTTCAGTTCCTGAAATTGAAAAGACTGAGACAGTTCCTGAAATTGAAAAGACTGAGAAGCAAGATGCAGAAGCACAAGCGAGCAATGATCTTATTTTGCAGGATGCTCTTTTGAAGCCCTAGTGGACAGACATGGATGGAAGATTCTGTATGGATGGAAGATTCTGGATGCTCTTTTGTATGTTTTATGGACAGAGAAAAAGTTCCTTTATCACATCATACATGGATGGAAGATTCTGCTTCTGGTGGACAGCCATCTACTTGTTGTGAACTAGAATTTCTCTGTGAAGTCCAGAGAAAATTCGACCAGAGAAATTCTCTGTGAAATGTGAAGTTCAGAGAAAATTGGACCAGAGAAAATCTCTGTAAACTAGAATTTCTCTATGAAGTCCAGAGAAAATTCGTCAAGAGAAATTCTCTAGATCGAATTTTCTCTGACTAGTTGAGTCTAACTGATTCAATTTCCCCTTCTACAGCTTGTATTATACCTGTCAACTACACAAATGATGTGTTCTTGTACATGTGTGCTTTTGGTATTGTTGTTGTTTCTTGGTAATAAAGTTTGTGCATCATTTGTGCTGTTTAGTTACTGATATAGAGGTTGATGAAGATGTCGAACAAGAAGATAAACCTGGAGTTCGAAACCTTCAGCATCTCTGTGTTCTACAAGAGGCAAAGCAGTCAAGTAAAAGTCCTTTTCATCTCGTTATTGCTCCGAGCCTTCACTTCCAACTCGGCCGAATCCAGTGACCGTGGCGATAATTCGGGCTTAAGCATTAGCGATTGTATGGAAAAGTGCTGGAACAATTGCAATTGTGTTGGGTTCACCACAAGCAATAGCAATGCTAGTCCAGAGAAATTCTCTGGGTTCCAAATTAAGCATTCCAGGTTCCAAATTGTGAATTGAATTTTTTTTTTCATTTGAAGTTGAAACCAGAGAAATTCTCTGGTTTTTGAACTGAATTTTCTCCAGGTTGAAACCAGAGAAATTCTCTGATTTTTTTAACTAAATTTTATCAGGGTTGGCCCCAGAATTTCTCTAAACCAATTTTCTCTGTGACGTGAGATGATGACAATGGTTATGATCCGGCGCTGAAGAAGTTGCAGAACTCTCCCATTAATGGAAGACTGAAACGGAAATATAAAGGCCATGAATTGTATACGAAACACAATGGTAGAAAGAATTTTGAATTTACAGCCAATACATTGTTTTTTCTTAGGAATTGGGAAGAACTTGCATCAGGTGATAAAAGGGAAGGGGAAAAAAAAAAAAAATCATTCGTAAACTTCTTCAAGATAAAAAAGACATTTCTTGATTATCAGTGCACAAACATTCACCAAAAACATGCATGGTGTATGTGTGGCTCCCTCTGCATAAAATTCTGAGAATAATTAGATTTTCCAGAGAAATTTGAACTGAAATTTCTCTGGACCAATTTTCTCTGGACTGAAATTTCTCTGGATCAAGGTTGAAGGACCTTAGACATTATGAAAATATTGTTGATGGACCTTAGACATCATAAAAATATTTGATGTCCTTTATGCTATAAAATCATAATATCAAGGATCTTAAAAAAAAAAAATCCCAAGAAATATTGTACAACATCTATTATATTGTTAAAGTGAGTTATATTTTAAATTCTAAAATTTCATTATTTTATGAATGATACTAGAGATCTTAAATAATTTATTAAATTTTTTTACAAAATCTCTTATATGAGTGTGGGACTCACACACATGTAGATTTGTGTGATTCTCACCTACATGTAAGAAGTTTGGTAAATTATTTAACATTTTCTTTATTTTATAGCACTAGTTAGAAAGAAAATTTTATGAATACAATAACTAATAAATGGGGGAAAAATTAGAAGACGAGATATTTTTAAAAAGTGATGCCTAATAATAAATAATAATAAAATCTTGTAAAATATTATTGATTTATATATATTTTAATGTTGGATTTGGGTTTGAGAGTTGAAAGTGATATTACAAAGAGAGCAGTGTGCAGTGGCATCGAATATGCTGACTACACGTGGTGGTGTCTTAAGGTGGTTTGGAAGGATCAAAATGAGGGTATTTTTTTGATTTTTTATAAATAAAAAAAAATACACTTCTTATATCTTTTATTATATTTTTTATTTTTTATTTTATTTTATTTTTTTTGGTACACCTCAAACCAACCTAGTTGCCTCCACTTCCTCCTATAAATGTGCAACCATCCATTCACTTTCTCTCATCATCAAGTTCTCTTTGTAATTTTGTTTACTCTTTCAAGTACTCTGATCTAATTTTTTGGGGCTCTCTCTCTCTCTCTCTCTCTCAATTTGTGTTTGAATTGAATAGGAAAATGTCCTCAGCAACCTTCATAGATATCATCGTGGCCATCCTCTTGCCTCCCCTTGGTGTCTTCCTTAAGTTCGGTTGCGAGGTCATCTCTCTCTCTCTCTCTCTCTATATATATATATATATACTAGCGGTTGGTACATATATGATGCATGAAAATAAAAAGATGAAATTAAAATTTTAAAGATTTGAATATTTTCACAGTGACAGTTTTTATGAACATTTTCAGAATGGAAAATCCGTGACATCTACACAATTTTTAATTTTATTTTATATATAGTATAGATATAGTAATCAATATTACAGATCAAATTTTTTGTTGCACGCTTATAGACATGGGTTATGGAGAAAATTGAAAAAAGAAAAGAAAAGAAAAGAGAATTATGTGTATATTGTTATTTACTCATGGTATATGTTTATTTTTATAACTATGCTTGTGTATATGGATATATTTGCAATTTGTTATAACAAAGTTTCTTCATTTTATTTATTTATTTATTTAATTTTGATGTGGGTGTTTGATGATGGGGATTGGGATTGGATTGCAGGTGGAGTTTTGGATCTGTCTGTTACTGACCTTGTTTGGATATCTCCCTGGAATTCTCTATGCTATTTATATCATCACCAAGTGATCATCTCTCTCTCTCTCTAGGTAATCCCTGCCTCCCTCATCTAAATCCTAGTTGTCACAAAAAATTGTGACCACGTATCAATCCATGGTCATTTTTTGTTTTTTGGGAAACTCTAATGTGCACATCCTTCAAAAAATTTTTTTATAGCATATGTGCTTTTATTACATATTTTTATGCTATATATTATATATATTTATAATAAATATTAATTTTTTTTTTTTTTTTTGTAAGGGTTAGGGTATTATGTATTATTTTTTAGAAGGTTACACATTTTTTTTTATTCAAACATTTTTTAATCACAAAACATGTAATATTATCACAAAAATATGTGACATTAATACAAAACAATTAATTTTGTTTTTTAACCATAAATCATTGTAATTTCACTAAAAGAATATATAACATTAATGGTAAAAATGCATAACATGTATTACAAAAATATGTAATATTTTTTAGAAGATTGCACTTTTTTTTTTTTATTCAAACCTTTTTTAAACACAAAACATGTAATATTATCACAAAAATATGTGACATTAATACAAAATAATTATTTTTTTTTTAAACCATAAATTATTGTAATTTCACTAAAAGAATATATAACATTAATGATAAAAATGCATAACATGTATTACAAAAATATGTAATGGGATGCGTATAATATAAAAATCTGTATCTTAGGGTTTTCTTTATTATTATTATTATTAATGAAAATTAAAGATGTAGCATCATAAGGTCAAACGTGGCCTAAATGTATATAAACCATACATCTTCCATTAACACTGCAGTTTATGAACCTATTTGAGACTCACAATTGGCGTTACACTTAATTACAATCCCTAATGTCTTTTTTCCTATTTCTTTAATTATTAATTAAAATTCAAAATGATATTATACATCCTTGTTAGAAAACCTTAATTTGTTTATTAATAATGCTATTATGACTAAATTTGAGGATTATGTATTCCCTTGATGGAATGTGGTCCTGCTAAAGCAATGTATTGACACATTATGCTATCGTATATATTCTTAAAAGGATGTGTACTATATGTAAATTACGATATATTCTTAAAACAGTGTGTACTATATATAAATTATGTCATTTATGAGTTTGATTATCACAAATGACATAACTCAATATTATGAGAGTTATAACTAAAAAAAAAATTTGCTTATAATAAATATCACATAAAGTATATAACAAAGATTTCTTGAATCATAATTAAAATAATGTCATAACCGCTATCACAAAAAATTATAATTAATAACACAAATGTCTGCAAGTAGGGATGCATATGTCACCCCATAGAATTTCCCCACATTATATGATTATCCAAAGGTTGATAGTTTATTTACTTTAATTTCTATGATATCTGAATATTGATTGTTCATTTTACTTTAATTTTTGTAATTTCTATGTTAATGGGGGCTATCAATATAAGATAAAAGGACTAATCCATGATTAGTTAGTCTGTGTGTGAACATTACACAAAAAAACAATCACCGATTGAAAGAAAAAGAGATACTCTCTCTTGAATAAATTTAATTCTCTAAAATAATATGATTTTCTCTAAGACTTACAGCTCATATCTATAAAAGAACCAGCCCTAATTACAACAGGACGTAAGTTAGAAAAGGTAATGCTCGCTAATCAAGCCTAAATTGGCGAGAATAAGAAAATTACTAAAGATATAAAGATTTGAGTTAAGCTCAAATTTGAAAACTAAAATAAAAAGTACATATTCTGGAAAAACATTTAGTCTCAAATGGATTTGTCTACAATAAATAATTAACGAAACAAATATTTTCAAAAATGGTAAAATCGCAAAATTAGAGACCTAAATATTGAAATTTGACCGAAATCCATTGTAGGGCAAAGAAATGGGTATTGATCGTGACATCATGTTCCATGTCTTAGCCGAATTTCACATGCATCTTGCGTCTACTAGTGTTTTTTGTCCTTCTCTTAGATGAACATAAGTTTCAAAAACTCTCTCCAAACACTCTGCATCACTAGGCCATAGCAATATGCTATTATATAATCAGTCATATATATATATATATATAACAATTTTTGACAAAAGGGTATATCCCTATGCTTTGTTTATGGCAGGTGGAGATGTGAGGGGTGACAATAAAAAGTACTTTTCATTTCTGCTAGTGGAGGAGGTGCTTATATATACCCAACGACGGCTCGATGAACAGTGATGATTTGTGGTGTCTAAAGATGATGTCATTCTTGTTTTGGGGGTTATTTTGATTTTGAATTTTAGGACTGGTAATTGGGTTTTGTAATTATTGTGTTGTTGGGTTGTTGATTTTAGTAGTTTAGTTTTGTCTTAAATTAAGATCATGAAATTTAATTTTCAGTGTTCGAATTATTTGTTTATGTATTGATTTAAACCTTAACTAATTTTCCTATTTGTGCTATATCAGTAAAAGTTTTGTTTTTTCACAATTATCCTCTGAAATCAGTATGCTGTTTCTCTTCAAGAGGAAGAAAATGATAGGGTTGTTTTTTGTGTTAATTTTAAAATATTTTCTATCAATTTAAAGACATCTAATTTGAAATTGTACTAACTTTGTATTTTTTTAACTTTCAATTTGAAATTAGGTATTGAATTTTTAAAATAGGCCCTCCGATTTCCATCTTTTACCCATTAATGAGAAATTTTATTGTCCAAAACCAGGTAAATTTCACTGCCTGGAGATCAAAAATACTTAATACAATGAAATTTCAACATTTGTTTTGCCCTAAAAAACTCTATTCATCTATAAAATTTATACAAAAAATACTACAAGAATGATGTGGCAACAATGTTGTAAATATAAATAATTTTTATGAGTGTAACATCATTATGTATGAATTTTTTATTTATATATGATTACTTTTTTTTCTTATTTTTTTATTTAAAAAAATTCATTTTCATTGTAGGACTTGTCAGAAGAGAATTTCAAAATAAAGTAAACAAAAAAATGGGAAATGTAGATCAAAAGAAGCATAACTAATAGGGATATTTTGGTGAAAATCGGAACTAATAAATTTTTATTTTGTGTCCTCGAACCTGTAGAAAGTTTTAACGTGAGATGAGAGTTCTCATCAAATTACCTCTTTAAAACCACTTATTAAGTTTTTTTTTTAATTTATGTTCAAACAGTAATGTTGCATTTTTTGTTTTTGTTTTTTTTTTTTTATCAACTAAAAGAAATTTTATTGGTGAAAATTCTGACTACAAGTTAAGAGAAAAAATATCAATAAATAGGACGAGTACGTATAGCATCATAACAATAATGTTGCATATTAACAACTCGAACATATCAAAATATTCAAAAAAAAAATTAATGTATTATTTTAAATATGAGTCCCATCATATAAGAGTTGGATATAAATCATTCATTATATTGGTGTTAATTTTTTGTGTAAAATTACATTTTTCACCCTAATAGTTTGACTCAAATTTCACTTTAATTTTTTTGTTTCAATTCAAACAATTTGGTCATTCTGTCTAAATTGGATGTTAAAATTAACATTTTTTGCTTCTCAATTTTTTAAGGTTTCAATTTGATTCTTTCGTCTAAATTGAGTGTTAAAATTAAAAAATTTTAGGGGTACTTAGAGTGAGGGTCTCAATCAAAATTCGAACAAGAGTGATGATATATATATATATATATATATAATTATACAAAATAATATAGTACAATAATATTCATTCATTTCAAATAAAAAAAAATTATTAAAATGATTTAAAGATTTCAAAATGTAAGTATCATCTTTTATTTCTTATAAGACTTTTTGTATTATTTTATTTTTATTTTTATTTTTTTGTTTACAAGTTACTTTCCAATTAAACAATGATAGCCTACTTTGCTAAGCCCAGAGATTTTTGGCAATGCTTCGGTGGTTCTCCAGTGACATTTTGGTAATTCTTTTTATATTTTTAAAATGTAAATTTACTCTTAAAATATAGATCTATAATTTTAGAATATAGATTTGAATTTTTTATGTCTGAAATAAAAGTTTGAAAGTTTTCTCTGTTATTTTTGGCATAGATTTTTAGATTTTTTACTCTCACATTGATTCTGGTTTTTCAACATTCAAAATGGTTTCCTCTTCTCTCAACCCTTTTCCCATACCATTGTGAGTGTCCTTCCTTCTCCGGCGGCAACGGTGGAAGAGTTGGGCAACAGCGACATGCAGGCCCGACCTTGAGATTTTCGGGGTTCAAAATCGATAATCAACTAATAAATTTTTGAAGCCCTTCATATTTTTTTTTCATTGAATGAAATTTTTTTTTGAAGGTAAATGATAAAAGATTTGTGTCAAAATTACAAAAAAATATTTAACATTACATTATAACAACTAATAAATATCACTTGATCCTCGCTCTTCTTGTATTTTTAGAAGCAAATAAATTAATCATACTTGCATAATCTAGTTTTTTTTGCAAAATCATTTTTAATGGATAACAATGCTAATCCATTCAATCTTTCTTGTGACATGGTTGATCGAAGGTAATTTTTGATCATTTTCAACTTTGAAAAGCTTCTTTCCCCCGATGCAACTGTAACCAGAATAGTCAAAAGTATCCTATAAGCAACCCATGAATTTGGGAAACAATTTGCCATCAATTGCAAATGATTGAGCACTTCAATTGGTTTATTGACTTCTTTTGGCAATCTCTCTTTCAAGACTTTTAGCTCCATCAATAAATGTCTTCTATCAATATCAGAAATCTCATCATGTTTTAAAAATTCTTCAATGTTCACACACCCCACATTCAACGATTCATCATTGCACTTTTGCAAGTCAAATAAAAAGTCAAAGTTTGCCTCATATACTTTGAATTGTTCGAACTTATTTTTGAGTGAACAAAGGACTTGATCAACAAAATAGAAGAAGTAACCAACTGTCACAACCCAAACCCGCTCCTAAAAGTTTGGTCCATGACCGGCCTGTACATAGGCCTCAAACCAAAATTTTACGAATACTTATTCAAATAGGAGCCTTAAGCGGAAGCAATATCAATATAAAGATAACATCCATTGAGCTTGTGCATACATGACGACTTAAACAGATTTAAGCAATTAAATACACTTCCATATTTACATATACAATCACAGGATTTATATAGATCTCACACACACTTACATAGAACTCAATGAACTATGCAGTATTCCAATACAAAATTTAAGCCTCAACACGAAGGAGTAATCCGTGCGGCTTGACAGATAGGTGGATCTCAATACAACTCTAGTGTTGGTCCCTGATGGCTCACCTACATAAATATACATAAAAATAGGGTGAGCAAGGGTCAGTGAATAATAGCAATGTAAGCAGGTTAGGTTAATATGCATAACCTTGGAGAATATAAATATACACATATCAAACCACACACAAGTCTTATCCATTACACAATCTGAGGATTGTTTAAAGTATAAATTACTTTCTCTAGTTTAGAAAATTACAAATACCTCATTGTTAGTTTTTTTAGTGTAACAGAATTAACTAAAAAAATAAAATTCATAATTGGTCTCCTATATAATAATAAAATTATCCAAATTATTAATTAAACATATTTCTAACATTATTAAAAACTATTAATCAATTTGATGATTTATTAATAAAATGAGCGTTTTGTTATGAAATTAGAAACCTTAGGCGGTGGAATGTAATTTTCAAAATCACAAGGGACGATTTGTATTTTTATTAAATCTCAAAAGATGTATTTATAATTTATCCTAAAATAATACATGGTCTTGAGTTTCAAGCTTTCTATGAGGTCATGAAAGATTTTTTTAGATGCGTTAATTTTAAGGTGCTCAGGAATTAGTTCTCTATTATCCAGATAAAAGATAATTGATCAGTCTAATTGGGCTCTACTAAGCTGAACAAAAGAGACCATGGATTAAAATAATAATAATAATAATATTATATAGGGCAAATTTCACTTTACTTAGTATGATTTAAGCCGGGTGCAGATTACTCCTTAACATTTGAAAACTACCACATAACCTCCATGTAATTTGTAGATTAAAACGCACACTAACTTCTATTAACAGAAATTGTAAATTAACAATTATACCCTTATTCATCTTCTTCTCTCTCACACTCTCTCTCTCTCCATTTCATCTTCATCCTCTTACATACAGTTCACTTAACTGACATACACTTCACTTCATCATCTTTCATATAGTTAACAGAAGTTGTACATACACTTTATCATCTTTCATCTTCACAAACCATTGAAAGCGCGTGATCATCAACATAATACCACATATATATGCATCTGCTGAATTGATTCCTAGTTATCCCAACTATGCAAACTATTTGATGGCAATGTTAAACAAATATCTGTGTTATGTACACATTTGGAATTGATGGCTGAAAACTCCTGCATACAGTTTAGAGGGTTGTTTGGGGTGTCTTAAATAAGTGTATTTTTTGTCTTTTTGAACTAAAAAATTGAGAAGAAAATATAGATGTTTGGGTTAATTTTTTGACTTTTTATGAAAAATGTGTATTAAAAAATTGTATAAATTAGTGTGTAGGGGAAAATTAGTATTGGGAGTTGTGCAGCCGTAATTTTTAACTTTTGGTGAATAGTGATAACTTTTTAACTTTTTGAGTAACTTTTTGACTTTTTTTACACTTCCCAAACTTAGCCTTAGTGCCTTCAAATTTTTAAGACGAATTGATTCCTAGTTATCCCAACTATCCCAACTATTCTTAATACAGCATATGCAAAATATATATATATATTAAACGTAACACAGATATATATATGGAATATATATATATATAATCATATAATTTGCATACACATATGTACAGATTATATATATAGCTACACATTTCAAACCATATTCAGTAAGATTATATATATAATTTGCGGCGGTGGCTTTGGATTAGGGTTGTCTGAAGCTGCTGGGGGTGGTTGACTGTGGAGGTCACAATGGAGTTGACCGGAGAGTGGCGTCGGAATGAGATTGACTGGAGTTAGGTAGTAAGAAGCTAAAAAAATTTTGATAGTACGAAGATCAAACCATATTCAGTAAGATCAAATCATCTTTCATCTTTCTTTTTTTTTTTTTTTTTTTCTTGGATAGAGGTTTACAGATCTGATGGCATTGTTTATAAATTTGAAGATGTGCCGGAGACATTTTCGTCTTAAAAATAGTGTTACACTCTTTGCAAGCGCGTAAGTCTCACTTTAATGGAAAAGCTAATTGTGCGTTTTAGTTCACAAATCACATGAGAGTTATGTGGTGATTTCTGCATGTCAGAGGGTAATCCGCAACCAATCCAAATCATAAGGAGTAAAGTGAAGTTTCCCTATTATATATAATCACATTCCAATTGGGTCTATACATTGGTATTACCAATTGGGTTCATACATAATTTACGGTATAATTGATCACTTTTCCACAAAAAATCATATCAAAGGCCCCAAAATGTAT